TGGGAAATTGACAAAAAAAAAAAAAAAAGAAAGAAATCTTTGAAAAATCAATTTTTATGTTATAAATTTTATAATAAATTATAAGAAAATACAAATTTCAAAATTTTATTATGACAACTGCTTTTGTGTTTTAAGTGAAAAATAATTCTGATCTTATTCTAAATTGATTTATACAAAAAAAATAGGTTTTAAAAAATTTGTTGATTTCTCTCTTTTCTATATAGTATCAAGCCCATATAATGATGCATAAATGTAACCTGTCTACAATTCGTGACGATAATGATTGAGAATAGTGTCACGAGTTTTCGTGACCAACAGAATACGTATATTTGATTTTTTTTTATGTCGATATGGAATAGTTTAATGAATATATCAAATTAAGCAGTATAGTAAACTTGTTTGATCCTGTAATACCCGATATAATTTAATGATAATTACAACTGTACGTAGTAAAAAGAGAAACGGTGTAAAAAAGATAACAAATTGTAAAAAGAGCGCTGTAAAAATGTAAAAGATTATAAAAGCAAGGTTATGTAATGTGACAATTTAAAGGTAAGGTATAAAAGCAAAGGCTTTCTACCTCGAATAAGGCAAAGTTCGACTAGTAAATTAATTGATCAATCTGAGTTCCTCTTTAAATAAAAGTTAATAATCGGCCTTAATTCAAACTAAATAAATTACACTTATCTTTCTTTAAAATCAGTACATTTAAATAATTTACCAGTCACTATTAGAGTTAAATCGTTAAAGCTCTCCCATAATAGTGAGGATAGAAAATCAACTATACAGAATATAAGAAAATTCAAGTTGAAATTTGGACTTTCAGCTCTTTTTTTTTTTATGATTAATTCGTGATCCACATAAAAACCAGTGAAACATCATAGTAAAAAGTGGAAAAAATTTATTATTAAATTTTGCCTTTTTTGGAATTTGAGGTTTCCAAAAGATTGACTTATTATTATTTTTTTTTATTAAGTAAACCTCATTTATGCTTCTAAATCATGAGATATGAGCATTTTAGTCTTCACGGCTATATGACATATAGTCGCATATCATATATATATACCGTATATTATTACAGAATGTATTCCGTGCATAAAAAAAAGTATAAAAGGTTAGATTGACTGACATTCATTAATAAATTTACATTCTAAAATTCTTTTGATCGCAAAAAAAAATTTAAAACTGTCTTTTACGTCGTTTCAAGATCATGAAACTTTTTTTAAAGAATTTAAAATTTAGTAAAAATTATTTTTTTTATCTTATATTCTTTATAATGTCAGCACTTGTTGCTACAGCTGTAAAGAAACAAGATTTTAAAACTTGTGAACAAAGTTCCTTTTGTAAACGAAATAGAGCTTATGCTGATAAGTCAACTGAGAATCCTTCATATATATCTCCTTACTCTGTAATTCAAGATTCTATTATAATCAAAGATGGTATAATCTTTGGTGATCTTATTAATTCGGAAAATAATATAAAATTTGTTTTTGAATTATATTTGTTGGAAATTGGTGCGACAAGAATTAAAATTAATGAAAAGAGACCATTAAAACCTCGTTATGATAGAGTAAAAGATTGGGCCCTTGTTCAAGAACTATCTAATACATTAGAATATAGTTTAAATCCTTCTAAACCTGGGTTCACGTCATTATCTTTCGGTAAAGAAAGAAACCAAACGGTTTTAATTTATCATTCCCCATTTCGGGTTGAATTTTTGGTCAATGATGTACCAACCATCATATTAAATGATCGTGGTTTACTTAATATTGAACATTTAAGAAAAAAAGACGAAGATGTACCTAGTCCGGTTGATCAAAGTAATAGTGAAGATAATAATATTGTTAAAGAAGAAAATGATATTGATAAAGGTCTTTGGAAAGAAACTTTTAATGGTAAAGAGGATCCGAAACCAAATGGTAAGTATCGCTACTTATATTTATTATAATTGACATCACATTTATGTTAACATTTA